GAGGAACGGGGACCTGCCGGTTGGGTTTATTGTTAGGAGGGCGTTTCAGACACATCCTGCGGCGAGCGACGGTCCGAACCCGGCAGCTGGCCGTCCCCCCCGGGGTGGGCAGAGGGGCAGGAAGGCGGGTTGCGCTTGGCGAGGATGTCGGTCGAGCCGCTTTCCTGCTGCACGACCTCCTCCGCCAGCGTCAAACAACAACAAAAACTTCTTTTTTTTTAAAAAAAAAAACAACCAACCAAAAGGGGAGAAAAAAAAAGGAGGTCAATAAACTTCAGAGCCCGGCTTTACAGGACACGAGACCTCCGGCCGGCTGCCAGCGGAGCTCAGCCCCACGTGCTTGCTCTTTCCAGAGCCCGTGCGCTCTTTTTCGAGGGAAAATCGGTCCCCCGGGGACGTTGTCCTCAATAACAAGCGCGACGCTGTCCCTGCGGCGAAGGGGGAGAGCGAGCGATCCCGCTCAGCCGCCCTGGAAGTACTTACAACCCCGTAACACGTGGGGTACCCGAGGCTGCCGGTCTCGTTGGCATTTTCTGCGGCTTCTGGATGGTGCTGCTGGCTTTTAGGGACTGCCCGGCAAAGCAAGACCACGCAGACCATCAGCCTGTTAAACTTCTCTGCCCGGATTATACTCGTTACCAAATAACCATCGAGCCGTGGATCTCTCTCCACCCGCGACGGACGAGGCTCCCGGGCTGCGAGGGTTCGATAGCGATTTCTTTAGAAAACCCCAAAGAGGTGGGGGAAAAAACAGCCCCCTCAAAACACACCCGTCCGATTCTGGTGTCCGAAGCCCGTGCAGCAGCTCACCCCGCTGCAGGCAAGGACCCTGCCCACACGGGACGCGGGCTCCGCAGGCAGGAGAAAAACCCCGATGAAAGCCAGTGTCACCCCTGTCCTGCTGGGAACGTCCCCTGCCTCTCCCCTGCACCGTCCCGCAGGGCTGCCCACCAAATCCCTGTCCGTCTGTCCTTCCTCCCCTCCTCGGTTGTAGAGGGGTGTGCGAACCACTGGGAAGGGGCCGGACTGAATTGGAATGGGAGATGCGTTGGCCAGGTGAGCGAGGCACACAGCACCTTCCTCTTCCTCCTCCTCCTCTTTCCTCTCCTCCTCCTCCTCCTCCTCCTCCTCTCTCCTCCCTCCTCCTCCTCCTCCTCTCTCCTCCCTCCTCCTCCTCCTCCTCTCTCCTCCCTCCTCCTCCTCCTCCTCTCTCCTCCCTCCTCCTCCTCCTCCTCTCTCCTCCCTCCTCCTCCTCCTCCTCTCTCCTCCCTCCTCCTCCTCCTCCTCTCTCCTCCCTCCTCCTCCTCCTCCTCTCTCCTCCCTCCTCCTCCTCCTCCTCTCTCCTCCCTCCTCCTCCTCCTCCTCTCTCCTCCCTCCTCCTCCTCCTCCTCTCTCCTCCCTCCTCCTCCTCCTCCTCTCTCCTCCCTCCTCCTCCTCCTCCTCTCTCCTCCCTCCTCCTCCTCCTCCTCTCTCCTCCCTCCTCCTCCTCCTCCTCTCTCCTCCCTCCTCCTCCTCCTCCTCTCTCCTCCCTCCTCCTCCTCCTCCTCTCTCCTCCCTCCTCCTCCTCCTCCTCTCTCCTCCCTCCTCCTCCTCCTCCTCTCTCCTCCCTCCTCCTCCTCCTCCTCTCTCCTCCCTCCTCCTCCTCCTCCTCTCTCCTCCCTCCTCCTCCTCCTCCTCTCTCCTCCCTCCTCCTCCTCCTCCTCTCTCCTCCCTCCTCCTCCTCCTCCTCTCTCCTCCCTCCTCCTCCTCCTCCTCTCTCCTCCCTCCTCCTCCTCCTCCTCTCTCCTCCCTCCTCCTCCTCCTCCTCTCTCCTCCCTCCTCCTCCTCCTCCTCTCTCCTCCCTCCTCCTCCTCCTCCTCTCTCCTCCCTCCTCCTCCTCCTCCTCTCTCCTCCCTCCTCCTCCTCCTCCTCTCTCCTCCCTCCTCCTCCTCCTCCTCTCTCCTCCCTCCTCCTCCTCCTCCTCTCTCCTCCCTCCTCCTCCTCCTCCTCTCTCCTCCCTCCTCCTCCTCCTCCTCTCTCCTCCCTCCTCCTCCTCCTCCTCTCTCCTCCCTCCTCCTCCTCCTCCTCTCTCCTCCCTCCTCCTCCTCCTCCTCTCTCCTCCCTCCTCCTCCTCCTCCTCTCTCCTCCCTCCTCCTCCTCCTCCTCTCTCCTCCCTCCTCCTCCTCCTCCTCTCTCCTCCCTCCTCCTCCTCCTCCTCTCTCCTCCCTCCTCCTCCTCCTCCTCTCTCCTCCCTCCTCCTCCTCCTCCTCTCTCCTCCCTCCTCCTCCTCCTCCTCTCTCCTCCCTCCTCCTCCTCCTCCTCTCTCCTCCCTCCTCCTCCTCCTCCTCTCTCCTCCCTCCTCCTCCTCCTCCTCTCTCCTCCCTCCTCCTCCTCCTCCTCTCTCCTCCCTCCTCCTCCTCCTCCTCTCTCCTCCCTCCTCCTCCTCCTCCTCTCTCCTCCCTCCTCCTCCTCCTCCTCTCTCCTCCCTCCTCCTCCTCCTCCTCTCTCCTCCCTCCTCCTCCTCCTCCTCTCTCCTCCCTCCTCCTCCTCCTCCTCTCTCCTCCCTCCTCCTCCTCCTCCTCTCTCCTCCCTCCTCCTCCTCCTCCTCTCTCCTCCCTCCTCCTCCTCCTCCTCTCTCCTCCCTCCTCCTCCTCCTCCTCTCTCCTCCCTCCTCCTCCTCCTCCTCTCTCCTCCCTCCTCCTCCTCCTCCTCTCTCCTCCCTCCTCCTCCTCCTCCTCTCTCCTCCCTCCTCCTCCTCCTCCTCTCTCCTCCCTCCTCCTCCTCCTCCTCTCTCCTCCCTCCTCCTCCTCCTCCTCTCTCCTCCCTCCTCCTCCTCCTCCTCTCTCCTCCCTCCTCCTCCTCCTCCTCTCTCCTCCCTCCTCCTCCTCCTCCTCTCTCCTCCCTCCTCCTCCTCCTCCTCCTCTTTCTCCTCCTCCTCCTATTCCTCTTTCCTCCTTCTCCTTCTCCTCCTTTCTCCTTCTCCTCCTCCTTTCTCCTTCTCCTCGTCCTCTTTCTTCTCCTTGTCCTCCTCTTTCTCCTCCTCCTCCTTCTCCTCTCCCCTCCTCCCAGCCCCTCTGCTGCCCTGTGACCCAGCCAGACGTCTGCAGGCTGCCAGCACGGCGCTGGGCGGCTCAGCACGTTCAAAGCCACCTCGCTGGGTGACACCTCGGCTCTGCGAGGTCCTCGCTTGCCCCCGAACAGACCAGTTTCGGTCGGAAACGCCTCGAAACTGATGGGTACCGCGGGGACACGGGTACCACAAGGACGCACAACCAGCTCCGAGCTATTTCCAGGACACCTCTCCGTGTCTCGAAAGCGGAGAGCCCCAGAGAGGGACCCAGGGGACAGTCCAAGCCGCTGGGAAAAGCCAGGCCACGAGCTCGGGCGGCCTCGCAGCAGCAGGACGCGGCGGAGACGTCGCTCACCTGGTGGTAGTGTCAAACTCGAAGGGGAAAATGATGTCGTTGCTGTTGCAGATCTGGCAGATGAAGCCGCGCTGGGTGCACAGGTCGCAGTTGTAGACGTGATGGGAAGCAAACTGGAGCAGAGACTGCAGGAAGGTCTCAAAGACGCCGTCGGCTATCTGTGGGGCAGAGATACGTCAGGCGGGCGCGGAGGCTGTCTGCTGTTGGGTTTGTAGCCTGCAAAATCCGCCTTAGAGCCACGCTTCATGCTGCCACGTGAAAACAAGGCTGTCCCCCCAAAACAACCCCCACCCCACAGGCCTGGGGGGCAGCGGGACCCCCGAGAGCACCGGAGCAGCACCCACCACCCGCTCCGGGCTTTGGAGTCGGTGCCAAATCCAACCACCCATCACCGCCAACATTATTTGCGACCGATACAAGTTTGTACAGAGACACGTTAGCAGCAACGCTGGCTTAAACAGAGGTGAAACAATTTCTCTTGCGTGACCTCCATAGCTCTCGGAGGACACAGGCTTGTGCCAATTATTTTGGCAAATTAAAATAAAGGCAATTATTTGCCTTCGAGCTGACGTGCAAGCTCGCAGAGTGCACCTGATGGATAGGAGCAAGGGAAAAGGTAAAGGAAGCTGTTCGAGATGTTCTACTGGCGATGATGAAGTGCCACGCTTGACAGAAACGGGGGTGTTTTCCCCAGTAAAACCCCTCCGGCCACGCGAAGCTCTCACCTGCCTCAGATCAGCGATGCTGTATTTGTGGGGACACTCCAAGAGGTAGTGCCTGTGATCCAGCCTGCAAAGAAGCACAGAGAAGAAGGCGGTCGATGATTTCCCCCTCCAGCTTTGGAGCAAGGAGGAGCCTGGACGATGCAGATTCTTGAAGAAAATCACCGTAAACCTGATTTGCGCATTGTGCCACACATCCCAAATCCCGCCAGGGGAAACCGTGTGAGAACATTTCAAAGCCGGGGGTGGGGGGGGAAAGAAAATAAATATCTCATCTATTTTCCCAGGTGTTTCCTGTCCAGCCAGAAGCTCCTCGGTCAGGAAGGTGTTTCCTGAATCACATCTCAACCAGCCACCAGACGGATAACTCTTTACAGCAGATGACAGAGAGCTAAAAACCAGCCCGGGCCTCGGCAGCATCGCTCCCCGCTCGAACGGTGAGGAGGACCGGGAGACCGTCGGGGTGCAAAGAGTGGGATGCAGTGGTAACGTCACGCAGAGGGACCTCACCTCTTGCTTAGCTCCTTCAGGGCCCCACTGCGGCACATGATGAGATAATCTCCCAGCAACTTCAGCTGTTCCCTGCTCCGGCGGATCCGTCCCATCCTCTCCACGTGGTCGTAGAGGCTCTCGTTGACCAGTTTCAGGTCGATCAGTGGCTGGTTCCGGATCTGGGTGAGGAACTTCAAAGCCTGTCGGCAAACCTGGGGCAGAGAGACGCACGAGGTGGGCATTGACAGAGGAGCAGTCCAGGGGGCTTAGAGGGAGGTGTAGGGTGGACATCTCCACCTCTGCTGCTGGTGGAAACGTTCAGGTGGACCTTCAGGAAGCTTAGGCAGATGAAGGAGCGTTTCCCCTGCTCCTTGCACCGACCGAGCCCAGACTTACCCCTCGTTTCGTCAGATCCCAGTTGTGGATGAGGCGCGAGGGAATCACCGTCTCCTCGTCCCGGTGGCAGCTGTCGCAGTAATAGAGACCGGAGAAAGCGCAGAGCTTGGGCTTCGCGAAGGAGAAGCCGATCTGCCTGGAGCAGCCTGCAGGGAGGAGGAGATGAGAGGGGATGCGCGCGGCCCCAAGAGCCCCTTCTCACCACTGCCAGGAGAGGGGGAAAAACTTTTGGGAGGGGGGAACGGAGCAAGAAGATTTTTGAAAGCGTTGGAGATCGGCTAAAGCATTTGTAGGACGTTTGGCGAGAGGTGCCCAGCCCCTTCCCGTGGATTTAAGACCACAACAGTCCAACAGGAGCCTCTTCACTTTTTTTCACCCGCCCACCCCATCACCTCCTCTCGCCGCTTTGCCCCATTTTGCCTTCACTCAGCCCTTCTCTTTCCCACTGCAGGGTACCAAAACCACGTCCGCAAGGGATCCTCGTCTGCAAGGCACCAGGTCGGGACGGATTAAGCCAAAAAAAAGCCTTTATTATAGCAGTGGGTAACCCAGAAGGAACCCAGCTCAGGTCTTAGGGGAAATCTGCAGGGTTTTTATAGCCACTTGAAAAGCGAGCGCATCTCTCAGAGTTGGGAGGGCAGGAAAACCCTTCGTGCTATTTTTAACGGCTTCAGTTCTCTAAAATAACTGATCACGCGTGAGCAAACCTCTGCCATCCTCGGGGAAGGCTTTGCCACCCCATCCTTCACGCTTTGGGGTAGCTGGAGCGCATGCCACAGAAAAAAAAATAAATCATGAAGGTCAGGTGTTGTTCTTTGAATTAATTAAAAAAAAAGCAGCTTTTATGGTTCATTACACCCTGATGTGCGAGGAAACCCCTCCTGCACCAGGCTCGGGTGTCAAGCTGGGAGGGAGGTGAAAGTGGGACAAGCAGCCCCCTAAGAAAACCTACACAGAAAAACTGGGAATTTGTCTTTTCAGCTTGCTGCTTCCATCTGTTGGTAGGTGGAAGATGCGGGACAGAGCCTGGAGGGGAAGGTAAAGACCAAAGAGAATGGAAAATATATATGTGAAAAAAAAATAATAAGAAGAGAGATTAAAGGAAAAAAAAACACCTGCTGGAGGGTACAAGAAATCCAATTGAAGCAGGAGAGAAATCTGAAGTTTAATTAACTTACCAAGGTAAAGAGCAAATTATACCTCCCGTGGAGGTCAGCGAGTGTTATCCTATTAGAGCAGCATCGCGCCGAGAGGCGTTAGCGCAAGGTTAAGTGAATGTTTTGCAAAATCAGCTTGTCACACCCAGCACAACACTCGCTCCCATGCTGCGTTACCGGAAAAACAGCATTTGCTCTTAATTGCACTTTCCCTGCAGGCTGGGGCCACAAAATACCTCAGAAGACAGCCCTGGGTCTCTTGGTCCATCTACGGTAGCCTTCAAGCCAAGACCCACCACTGTCTATACCGTAAGCAGCTTAACAGGAGCCCAGTAGCAGCCCAGTTGGACCTGTGCTGGGGTGGGACAGGGACTCAGCATGGGGGGACTCCCTCTGTGCACACAGACACTAAAGGTGTCACTGATTTTGGGACGTGAAGCCCCCAGCAAGGGGCTTTGGCTGGGGAAACCAGCAGCTGGCACGCAACGGGTTGGTAGGACTCAAGGGCATGTCTTTAATTTGATGTCACCTCGTTAACCTGAACGAACGCAACGTCGTCCTCCGAGACGGAGCTGGGTTTTTGGACAAGCCAATGTATACCTGCACAGATGAAGCTCTGCGAATCCAGGCCCTTCTCCATGGGGATGGCCACCAGGTATTGCAACAAGAAGCCGTTCTCCTTCACAATGTTCTTCAGGACGACCTGGGAGTGTCCATCCAAGCTGCCACCCAGCGTCAGCGCCTCCTCGGCGCTCTCCAGGTAGGACATGAGCACCCCTCGCACCAGCTCCCTCCATGAGGCCGCTTCTTCTGCGTTCTCAGCCTGCAGCTTCAGGACAGCTTTGGAGGTGATCACCTTGAAGAAGGCAGGTCCCCCGAGACTCGTATCCGGAAGGATGTCCTGGATGGTTTCTATACCGTAACTGTTGCTTAAAATTTTGTCGTTGTTTCTGACTTTAAAGCACTTTAAAGTTTCTAGAGACAGGGAAAAAATAAAAGGGACCCAAGTTTTGTCTACGTCCACATAGAGAACAGCCTCTTTTATTGCATCCAGCTCCGGTTCATGAGCTGAAGTCCAGTCCAAGCTGTTCCCAGGCACGTCGCTGTACTGGAGAAGAGTACCGGAGTCATTCTGGACGGGCTGGCCTTCACCACCGTCTTCTGGATACTCCAGCGTCTCCCACTCCTCCTCCTCCAGCTGAGGCCGGCACTTCTGCAGCGCCTCGCGGATCCTGTCCAACCAGTCCTCGGCCTCGTCTCGAGAAGGAGCTCGTAGGTAGAGTTTCTTCCCCAAGAAAACCAGTTCGAAACGGCCGTCCGAGTGCGTCAGCGCCAGCGACTCGCACCGCAGCAGGGAATAGCTCTCGACACAGATGCGGTCCTCGTGGTCCAGGAAGAGCCGGAGCTCCAGCGGTGACAGCTCGCAGGAAAATTCCTTCCATATCCCCATGGCTCCTCTCCGCTCCAGGCTGCCCAGCTTCAGGAGCCCTCGGAAAGGGTTGGAAAGACCTGGGGTGAAAGCAGATGTCACAGCTTAACTGAAAAAGGAGAAGCTAGCGGAGAGAGAAAAGCCAACGGGCAGCTCCCGGTGAACAACCAGAGGCATCACAGCTTTGAGAGCTCATCCTCATGGATGGTGGGATGGGGCAGGAGTTTACAGGACCTCCTTGCTCCGTCTCCGTAATCTCTGCATTTGGGTTTTGAGAATGAGTGGGATGGCATAAAGGAAATATGTCCTGCAGGGTGGACAGAGGCACCCAGCACGCCTCCTCTCCTCTTAAAACACTCCCCACCAGAGCCACCGCGGGCTCACCAACGCCAAGGGAATCTGCCTGACTGCCTTCTGGAGCTTTTAGTGCTGCCATAAGCTCAGCAACGGCAAACTGCGCTTCCCAAACCCGACACATCCCCCCAGCCCCTGAGCGCTGCCCAGCGAAGACGTCCGATGAAAGCAGGAGAGGGGAGGGCGAGACGTACCCATCTGCCTGCGATGCACAACGCTGAAGCCCTTCTGTTCTCGTTCAGGTGACATTTTGGGCTTCCCGCTCTCTGAGGATGGCACCGACAGCCTTTCCAAATCAAGAGCGCTAATGAGCCCTGGGGCCGGACCCTCGCCAGCCTCCTCCGGCCCAAAGCCATTGGCGTCAGCCGTGTTTTCGCCGCTGTCTCCTGGAGAAGGTCTGTAGAAATCATCTTCCGAGATCCAGCTCTTTCTTTTCTGTTAAAAAAAAAAAAAAGAAAATAATAAATATATTAATTATCAATCTTATCGAACATCCTGTGCCCCTCAAACACACATGCCCACGGTGAACCCTCCACGGGTGCTGCTCCCACGCAACCTGAATCCCACGCAGCGATGCTTGCACCCTCAGCAAGTTTGCCGACGACACCAAGCGGTGTGGAGCGGTCAACACGCTGGAGGGGAGGGATGCCATCCAGAGGGACCTGGACAGGCTGGAGAGGTGGGTCCATGCCAACCTCATGAAGGTCAACAGGGCCAAGTGTGAGGTCCTGCATGTGGGTCGCGGCAATCCCAAGCACAGACACAGTCTGGGTGGAAAATGGCTGGAGAGCAGACGTGAGGAGAAGGACTTGGGGGTGGTGGTGGATGAGAAGCTCAACGTGAGCCAGCAATGTGCGATCGCAGCCCCGAAGGCCAACCACACCCCG